AAAAAAACGTTTTCATATGAAACAAACTGACATTAATAGTCTCATTAAAAAGAATTCAAACATTAAAACTAAGATAAATAAGTACGTTTAACAATTTAGTCGAAATATATTTTTTCTATAGAATACGTTTGTTCTCCCACACCCATACTCTACTTTTACTTTCAGTTTTCCGCAGAATGAATAATTTTGGATCTTGAATAGGAGTATTTCTATTTGTTATTCATTCTCCTTCGGTTTCTTGTTTTTTTCGTCGTCGTTTTTGTATGGCTCCTTGTTAATTATTCTCATCAGACTGCATCATTTCTCATTCCAAACACCAGCAGAGTTATTGCCATTCACTACTCTTATGATGAAGAAATGATCTATGACTCGATTGAATATTACCATACTCTAAAAAATTGCCTATCATGATATATGAAGGAAACATTGAACAAGGGTATTTCGTCATGAACAAAATTTACATGTTATTTCCTTTACTATTTTTTTTTTCGTTTGTAATCAAAGGATAGCTTCGTGGAATATTTCCTAGACATCAATCTAGAGGCTAGAAAGTTAAATTAAAACCAAAAAGCTAGTAGCGTAATAACTGCAAGATTAAAATGTGAAATATGATACAGCTGCTCTTCCGAACTATAGGGAGGTTGTTTTAATCTATCCTTTTTGCAACACATTTCAAAACTCGAGTCAGGATGTAGTTCATATATTATAATATGACGTAAATTGATGTACAGCGTTTGATACGTATATCAGCAACATCTTTCACATTCTGTCACGGTCTATAGGAGGGGTGGAAGCGGGTCCAAATTTCTACTCTACACACTTCAACACTTCTTTCAGATCGTGTTTTATAAAAATGTCTCTCTGTAATACTTTTTTAAACAAGTAGCTCTTACATTAGAGTTCCAATTTTTAGTTTTTAATTTATTCAATGAATGGATAAAGAATAAATGATTTATACGCTAGATTGAATATTTCTAGAGTCTACAAAATGGTAATTAATTCATGTTGTGTGCATTTGTCTGCTTGAAACATGTTTTATGAAACCATTGTCTTTCTGATTATTGATGATTTTTCATTTCCTAATTTTTTGAGATGCTTTTTTAGTCGTTTCTAGGATTCTCTGACTCATTAATTTCTGTGGTGCAAATAAATTCAAATTTCGGATCACTTCTGAATTTACAATTGTGTCTTTAATTTTAAGGGTTTCGTAATTTTTCTTGTGTTTCGAAAATTGGCTTTTCTTCCTTCAGATTTTATTCCTTCTAGATTTAAGTGAATCGAGGGTGTGGGTGTGGGTGTAGTTCTTTCTTACACCCACACCTACACCTACACCCACACACCCACACCCACACATCCACACCCACTCCACACCCGCACCCACACGCTGACTGGCCACTCCCATACGTAGAAGTTTGTCAAAAGAACAATATCAGAAGATCTCAGCTGCTTACGTGAATGCTTATTCCCATAGATGATACCTATTAAAGAAAAATATATCATATATTATTTCAGGTAATTCAAATATAAAAAGACCTCATACAATAACTTTCCAATGAGTTCGAGTAGAATGTGAGAAAATAATTAATTTACTAGAACTGAGGTCGTGAGAATTAGTGCCACATACTTGTCAGCTCCATTTCCACTAAAGTACGTAATATATGAACGCGATTGCCTTATATTTATTTATATTCTTATTACACTTACAACACACAATTAATAGTCAAAATGTGATTATGAAGTGATTGTGTGTGGGTGTGGGTCTAAATTGAAATAAGATCAACGCCCACACCCACACCTTGAATCACGACTCGTGATGATGAGCGTTACTAGTTGAATAATTGAAATTTTTTCAACAATTCAATAGATATTTTTCTTTTCAGACTTTTGTTGAAGTATATCTTATGATACCCGAAAATAATAATTCTGTTCAAGACAAATCATTGTTGGCAAAATTCTGAAAATGTTGACTAGTGGGTAACACTGATTTCAAGCAATATCAATAGCAATCTTTATAACCAATTGAAGCACCTCAAAAATAGGATTTACCATAAACTAAATTATAAGCGGTAGAGTAGCTTTTTAATATTCAATTCTACTTCGTATCTGTTATTTCTGAAGACTTGATGAGCATATAATCACTAATCAATATGACGACTGATAGCGTTTTTACAAAAGAAAGTTGAGACGGATACGAACATGAATTAATTTTTAATATTTCAATGTTTATTTCCATATTTGTCAAAACGTATAAAGTATGTTTCTTTTTTAAGAATTTATTCATCACAAAGTTTGTGTTCCGCATATTGATAATCATTATTTTCAGCTTCATTTTTGATTGTTGATATTCATTCGAAATCACAATGCTATTCTATGGAAAAATATCTTGTACAAGTAAAACAATTTGTAACAGTGAAATCAAATCTATTCACGTCGCGTTTGTCCACACTCGGATTAAAAAATATTTTATCCGATTTACTCTGACTAAATAATATTTCATAGAATTGTCTCAAATCAGCATTTCGAGTCAATCACCTACTTGCAGAAACGATTGAATCGTAACATTGAATAGTTGGACGATCCTTTTCACATGATAACTGAGAGCAAAATTTGAGGAATAATTCATATTATATATGATCATCATTCGAAAACATGTCAAAAAGCAGGGAATCAGCAAAAATATGCCCTCGTTGTCATTTTCGACGAAGGCGGTTATAGTGATGAACTAAACATTTTTGTTTTTGTTTCATATATACCCTGGATGTAGAATTCTAATGTGTAAAAAAGAAAAACCTTGCATCTTCTGTAAAAGAGTATACAGATAATAATAATAATGAAACAATTATTACGTTATTCATTACAGATGATTGTTCCATTTTCGTTTTCAATAGCTCCATATTATATGAAAATTATCTGATTAAAACAAACATTTTGCCACAGCAATATGTTCAAGCTGATTGAAATAATAATCTTCATCGATGCTTCTTTCTGTACAAAGGAAATATTCAATCAAATACACATTCTATTTAATTGAACGAATAATATGTAGCACCATATTGAAAAGATCTCGAAAGAAGTTTTTCTATAGAATATGACGTAATGACGATTTAGTTTCATAAAGTGATTGATAATTTAGACAATGTATTTATGAAGGACAAAAACAATAGTTAAAAGTTGCTGTTGCTTAAGAAACATTGATAATAATGATCTAAAATAAATATTTGCATCTTTGTTTATGATTCTCTTTCTAAAATGATTTGTTTATTCATTTGATAATTATAGTCAATTTAGATAATAAATTTATATCTCATATATCTATTGTCGTGTAGCCACAACAAACAACCTAAAGAATAATTAATAAAAAATTTTGCACTATATCGTGATCGATATCTACATAAATGGTCAATTTTGATATGATAAAATAATAACGTAACATCAAAACAAAATTAATGAAATCTGTCTAACAAAAACCAACCAATGAACAATAAAAACCTATTCTCACTGTTGAATGAGTGTGCAATTATGGAACAATTCAACATGAAACGAGACGTTTAACAGAATGTAGGTATCACTTTTTTCGATTTTAGCGGATAAGTAGTGAAAAAAAAATCACAGTGGACTAAGAAGTCACCACATTTTCTATCATTATTACAAAACATTAAATAATGTTTTTAAGGATTAGTGTGAGATTCAACAAAATGATTGTTAGTTGTGTCTATTGTGGTTAGATCCCTATTATGTGAAAGACTTCCGAGTAGTTTCGGAAAGCTCGACTGGGTCCTACAGACTCATTGATACATTTCTGATGTGAATAGGTTTGAAACTTTCCGATGAGTGCACAAACTTCGACCGCGTCCTGGAATAGAGAAACTATTCATTTCATCCGATTCAAAGTGATTTATTTGAAGAAAGAAAGACGAAGATTCTCAGTAATGACTCTATTCGATAAAAAATCGTTGAACACGATTATTTCCATTGTCGGCGACATAGAGATTGCCATATCGATCGAAGAATAAACCTTCGGGATAGCGAAGTTGATTTGCTTCTCGTCCTTCACCATTTCCACCTACGATGATAGTACCTTCTTTCGCTTCTTTAGGCCAACGTATCACTCGATGATTATGCGCGTCTGCCACATAGATAGTATGCAATGTATCGACAAATACTCCTCGAGGATACGCGAATTGTGTCAAGGCGTTTCCTTTGCCGTGACCTCCAGCGACAACAGTTCCTTCTTGTGCATCTTTATTCCATTTCACCACACGAAAATTGTAGTTGTCTGAAATGTAGACAGTCTGTTCTCGATCGACAAAGATGTATCCTGGTCTGCTGAGTTGATTGAGACTAGTACCATTCCCATTACCACCAGCAACAATAGTTCCATTCTTATCTCCTATTTGATATCTTCTTACTTCATGTTTTTCTTCGTCAGCAACATAGAGATATCTCTGATTATCCATAGCCACTCCTCTACAAGGAATATTGTCAATGAGGATTTCTCCTTGAGTTGTGTTAGGATGACGAGACCATTGTACGACTCGTCGATTTACTCGATCACAAATAATGAGGTTATCCATCTCTTTATCAATCAAAACACTAGTTGGATCATACAGTTGGTCTAATCGACTTCCATGGCCATTACCACCAGCTATTACTTGTCCTTTTGTATCATTCAACTGCCATTGAACAATACGTGCATTGCCCCAATCAGCGATGATCATCGTTTGATCATCATCAACGAAAATACCGTGAGGATTTTGGAGTTGATTGATGGCACCGCCATGTTGAAGACCGCCAGCAACAGTTACTCCATTCTTTCTCCATTGAGCATTAACCGGAATATTGGGAATCATTCCTGTGAAAGTAAAAGAAGAGGAATCATCATCATTGTTTCCTTCTGACGGGATAGTGCTGCAAATGAAAAGTTCGGCAAAATTTTCGAGACTACTCTTTCCTAATTTTCTACACAAAAAGATGTAGGAATGCGAAATCTTTGGAAAATTAGCGAAAGAGTATATTAAGTAATTTTAATCCTTGAAGAATTTAAATTTTTCTTAGACAACAAACGTCAAACCTAATCCATATGGTTTCGGAGAACCATACATCTAACCATATCCTTCTTTATATCTACATATTTAACCAGTTTTGAAAACATAGAATTATACAGCAAAAAAGATAGAAAATAAAATAGAGCGAATATTATAGATCAGAGCTCAAAAAGAAAAGAATTGTACTACAGTACTTTGTAAAAACAATCTTGTCATTCTTGTGTGAATTATCTGAGTTATATTAATCGTTACTCAGTAAGATAATATATAATATAAAAGAAGAAAAGCGTACCTATGCAGCTTCGAGAAAAAGATAACTATACGAATACATACAAGTTGATTTTACTGAAAATTAAAGATGACGAATAGAGTAAGATTATTGGTGTACACACTAACACTTACAGTCGAAGAAACATCTTATTCTGAAAGTTTAAAATAGATGTCCTTGATCAACGAATAATTTATAGAAAAAATAAGATGGTTAGTTATACAAAATTTCTTCTACCAAAACCACTATGACATCGATCAAATGAATAGTTGAGACAGTTTTTTCTGTGAGGCACCTTGTTGTTTATTGACATGTCTGAAAACTGATTCCAATGGAATGAAAAAAACAAAGAACATGAGATATCTTTCATTTCTTAGGTTTACTGCTATATTTTTGTAGTTAGACTAGCATAAATTCTATGTTTGTGTTATCTACAAGGTGGCCCACATGTCACTTAACAGATAGAAATATAAAATCATTCTAGACATGTCTTTATGAATACACAGCTTGAACATTCTTCAACTCGTTTGTTGAAGCCCTGGTGGAGATATTCAATTTTTTTGTTGGCAAAGTGACTTTTACGTCAATCTCTATATTATTTTTTTCTATCTGTGAAAATATCATTTTATTTTGTTTAGATCAATAATCATACTTATTTAAAGAGTTTCTTTGGGCATGTCTTTATCAACATAAAGCTTGAACATGCCTCTTGAATTGATAAAAAAATCAGCTCATTTACTTAAGTCGTAATAGAGATAAAGATCCTCTAGAGAGCATAAGTCAATATGTTTTTTTTTTCAACTGAATCTATATTAAAGGTTTTCCTAAATGATCAACTTATGAGTTTGTTTACTTTTTACTGAAAACTAACAAGAAACTGTTTGCAATGTTGGTAGCCAAATCTATGAATGGAATGTTTCAGATAATCTGTTTGACATTCTTATAAAATGAAGAGAAAGAATGAATTTCGTCTTTTTTAGCTGTGAACAAAACGAATCAAACTTTGATAGTGACGCAAAAAAGCTAACATGAGAATTATGAAGATTTAGTTTTTACTTATGATATCAGATCGTTAGTCTCATCAATGTGATCTTTAGCTAGGTGCAAAGTAATATTACATACGAAGGAACTACATATAATCTGGGTAAGAATCAGCATTTGCCAAGATCAAGAAGCGTTAACTTAATACTTACCTAACTGCTGAATAGAGTTTGTAGTGGTCGTTGTCGTTGAAGTTGTAGTATGCATTGCTATTCATTATCAAAGAACATTTATGTAAACAAAGTAGATAGTTTTAAAAGTGATACAAACTGTGTGCGCTTAAATCTTAAAATAGAGTGGCGGCATCAAATTATGTAGAAAAGTGTTTTTGTTTTTCAAAACTGATTTTCAATAAAAAAAAATTTCTGTGTTTATTAGATCAGTAAAACTTTCTCGAGCACTTATGATGTGTTTTGAATACGAGCTAAGAGTTACATTCACTAACTGCGGGTTGCAGTACACAACTTTTACTGAAAGTATGAAGCTTGTGATTTCAACTTCTCATATGAATTGTCTATCCACCAGTGTGCTTATCTCGAATCATCAGAATGTTCTGCCTTCATATAAGCAGTACTCTCATCGTCAGTCAGTTTCAATATTTACGTTCTTCTGTTGGAAAATAAATCTCAAATATTATGCATTCTGCGTTTATTAGTAAATTTTGAGATGACTAAGCCAATGGTATTGCAAACTGTGGAATACCCCTTATACACACGCTTGCATCACTTGTGATTAGTGGCATATTCATTTCATTGAATGGTTAAAGTCTATCATGAATTCATCTACGTTTTTTTTTCAAAATCTCTCTCCTTTCATTTGAATCTGTAGATCACTGTCTGTTTTCTTACGTGCTATTGGTGGACACAGTTGTTGATTGAAACTAGGAATTGGATAACAAACAGAAAGATTACGACATCGAGGATGATGAACACATCTATGATTAGGTTCATGACAAACGTTGCTTGATTGTTCACATGTAATCAGCGCAGAACAATCGACGAATTCATCACCACAAATGCCAATGTTAATAGCACCTGCTATGTGGAAACAGGCACACGCACTGTTTGGCGAACATCGATCATATTGAGACATCTCATCACAGAATTGAGATTTCACGCGAACTAGCAACATACTAAATTAATAGCATCATATGTTAAATGAAACAAGAATCAAATCTGTAAAGCTTAAAAGGAAAATTATTTAACATTAGACGAATATAAAAAAAAAAGCTTTAAAATTACCTGAATAAAACGAATAAAAAACAGTGAACTACTGGTAAAACCATCGTTTGCATTGAAATAAAATAGAATAGCTTCGGTTTCCATCTTTATATTATTCTCATTTGTTGAAAATAAGATAATCTTTCAATAAATTGAAATTCGATATGGCTTCACTGCTTGCTTAAGCACTTAATTTTCTTTCGAAAAAGTTATATCTATAGAAGAAAAAAGCGTCGTCAATGTGATATAGTATTGCTTCTCAAAAATATAGTCATTTAATAGACTCGTGTCATCATTCGAAACATCAATATTGTTATTGTCTATGTAATAACGACTTTGAACAATTTCAAGGACAAATTTTGTTTTTAATATTTGTATTTCATACTGACACCAACACTCACTCTGAAATGGTAAAATTACAAAATATAGATCAACTATATTTTTTGATTTTATTTATTTCCATGTCGGTTTTAATAGTTTGATTTCAGTATTCAACAATAATGTGTCACAATGTAACATCGAACATAAAACTAATAATTCTTGCATTTATAAAAATGTTGGACTATCAGGTGATAGACATAAAACATTGTTGAAAATCAGTCTCTCATTTCAAGGTGTATTGAATCGATAACTGGATAAAAAATAGAACTTCTATACTTACTCTTACTATTTATATCTTCACACTTTCCTATTGTACTTGTAATTAGACAATTTTTATATCTTATAGAAGGGTACGGGTGTGGGTGTTGATTTTATTTTAGTTCAGATCCACACCCACACCCTCACATCTTATAAAGTACCCGTTGATCAACCTGTTTATAGTTGATAAAACTAATCAACCTTCTGAACTACCCTTTGATCTACCTTGCTATAGTTGATGAAAGTGATCAACCTTCTGAACTACCGATTGACCTACCAGTTTCGAGTTAATGAAGCTAATAAACACTTTCGATTAGCTTTATGAAAGGTAATGCAAGGTATTTTGTTATCATATGCCCATTTGTAAATGAATATTTGTCTTGAAATTAATTATTTTTTAAATATGATCTACCCTTCGAAAGGGCTTAAGAGAATGCAACGGATAATATACCCTTTAACCATTTTTGAATCCTATAAACATTTTGATAAACCTTTTATAACGAGTATTTTAGCTTGATATACCGTTTTTTTTGCACTATTTTTGGAGGTAGACCAAAGGGTTTACTACATTCTGATAAACGGTAGATAAGGGCATATTATCCGTTACATCCTGATAAACGTTTTAAAGGTTTATCATTCTACTCTTTTTTTTCCAGTGCACCCTACACCCACACCCTATTCTTCGATCAACATTCAAATAAAAAAGTGTAAAGTTGTCTTGTCAACAGTACTGAGGTGCGAAATCTGTCGTAAAAAGAGAAAAATTTCCAAACAGGGAAATCTTTCGAAGAATTTTCTCAGATCTAATAGTTTCCGAAAATTTCCTTGAACACATGTTCATATACACGGGTAGATTCTGCATCTCTCAATTGTCAGGTATTTTTAATAAATAAAAGGCATGAAAGAGTGTCATTTGGCATTACTAAACATGTCCGATGCATAATTGAAGAAAGAGTTGCTATTGATAGAAATATTCTTTGAGAGCCAAGAACGCCGTTTGTCTTACCTTGAGAACGATATCGCTCTTATTGAAAGAATTCGATGAAGATCCTTCAATATTTAGTATAAAAGCTTAAGGCACAGTAGAGAATTCTTTATGTAATAGAATGAGTATAGTATGACTGAATGTTGATACTTATCATTTATTTTTTCATATCTTTGGTAAAAGGAACCAGTATAAACAGAAACGAGAAGAGAACACTTGATTTGAATAATAAATTTTTCTTCAATAAAAAAAAAAACGTCGCTGAAAATTTGTCCTTAGGAAGAAAAGATGCAGTAAAACATGCCCTACAAAATGGCTTTTGATTGACTCCGCTAACCCATATAATAAGAAATATGCTTTACAAAAAATAAAAATCAACTTGTGAAGTGAATAGTAAACAAATAATATTTATCAACAAAAACAGCATATTAGAATCCAAAATAGTGGTGGGGTAGAAATAGTATGTTAATCATTAGTATTACAAAATAAAACTTTCATATATTCTGAGCGGTCGCTTTTGAATTATGAAGTTTTCACATAGTTATTGTTGTGCACTTATAAAAGTGTTTGTTTTCTGGACGCACATCATGAGACTTAACATTTTTGTCTTTAACATATGAAAAATATCTATACAGTATAGTGAGAATCATCCATGTTTAGGAAATGTTCGACGAGTGATGAAGATAAATCCCATCAGACGTAATACATACAAAAAGACAAAATAGAAAAAGAATGGCACAGAGAATTAACAAATTCTTAATGTCTTTCAGTATTGTATACAATGAATACCAATAAAATTATTAGTTTTTCTTCCAAATAAATGAACAAATTCAGGTAACTATAAAGATAAAATTTTGACATTTCTTGAGAGAAGAAGAAAAACCTACTATCTTAACTAAATGAAAAGTAATTTTCCTCATTGATTGCAATTGCTATTCTTATCATTTCCAGGATTTCATGAATCTTATTATGCTGGAAAAAGATTATTCTGTACTTAGTAAAATAATAATTTACTGAAGTACATTTCGAGTTGCATTGAGTAAAAAAAGTAACATGATGATTATGGTCACTGGTAACTTAGGGCTTCGATTTTTTTTAATCCATTATTTGACAAATGAATACTTCCAGTTTTTTTTATTATGAAAGATAAAATGTGTTATTAATGTATCTTAGCGATTTTAAATGAAGTTTAAGTGGTTCTTTTTAGTAAATTGGTAGTCTCATGCATGAGTTTGATGAATTGGATTATTTTTGTGTAATTTCATTGAAAAACGATATGCCGAAAAATAATTATAGATTGTTGGAAAAAGCAAATGGATTCCTTGATGACTAGACAAATACTCTGTATTGTAACTGATAGGAAAAGACTGTAGTTATGATTTTCTTCCTTCTAAATTTCAACTTTCAGTTTCTTATCGAATATCTTACAACAAAAGATCCAAGTACCCATACTTTCTCATACGTATCTGTGATTTTTATATCATGTTCTAAGTTATATCCACAAATCTCGACTTATACTTAACGTAAATAAACACATTTAGATAATAAGATGAAAGAACAAATAATTTCCTTTAGACATCATTATGTAGCCTTCG